GGGCATCAAAAAATTCAGCCTATATTTAAGTCTATGGATGTTTTTGTGAATGACAAGATACCTATACGTGCACGCACAGACACTCTCGTTTCCGTCAAGTGCATTGCCGTCGGCTCTGTATATATCAGTCCTTAAGAGCCTCTTTTCGGCGATTCGGCAGACAGCTGGGTAAGTGTGTCTTTATTACGCCCCGACGACTCGTCCCTTCCACCTTCATGCATCATCATCATCACCCGCAAATATAAGCCCTTATCGCATCCCACTCTCGTTTTCTTGACCTACGCAACGAAAAAGACTCTCGGCCCCCTCTACTTTTTTTTCATTCGCTCGTGGTCTTCTCGTTGGCAGAGGATCTCATTTAGAATCTCCAGTGGCGATAGCAATCACATTTTTTTTCTCAAATCCACGCGAGTGGAGTACTGTGCTCTTCATCGTGTCGATAAGATTTTAAGGTTGCGCTGTAGTATCCTGCAGCGCTAGAGATTGGTGCACGTACCAATACAACCCATCTTTGCCCCTCATGGCACGGGATACCAAAACAAAGCCGATTTTAATAGTAATACAGCGGCGTGTAGCTTATGTGTTAAGGACACGAGGGGGAGTGACAACGACGCGACGCGTGCTGAGTATATTATTACTCGTGAACACGAACTACGCTTGCTGGGGATGGAAAAATTTTATCAAAAATGTAGTAAGCCGAGACATGCCAGCGCTTGTTCGGAAAGTTGTTCAATGGCCCGGCTACCAAAACAATAGTTCAACAACAATGTGTTCCCGTATAAGAAAAACAAAAACAAACAAACAAAACCTCCAGAATGGACAACAAATCCAAGATCCCTCATGTTCGTGTGCCAACGACGGCATTACCGCTCGTGTCCCTAAACAAAATAAATCCAAAGCCTCGCCGTCCGTCGTCTATCCGACTAGAATCAGAGAGGACCTTATCGTCTCGGCCAGCGCCGTCATTGAGACCGTATCTGCCACCGACGCACTTTATTTTTACGCCTCGTACTTGTCGCTTCTCCTCCCCCCCTCGGCATTAATCTCCCCGATATTTTGCTTTCCCCTCCCTGACCTACACCCCCCCCCCATGCTTTCTTAAGGCCGTATCTGTCGGAATAGCGGGGAAAAAAGGAAAATCCCTCCGCTTCATTTCCACCGTCTCCTGACCTACGATTCTCACCCCCTACCCTCGGCAGATCCTCTCTTTCCACCTATACACGTTACGGAGTATAAGCATCATGCCAAAAACTATTTCCCCCCCCCCAGCCCCGTACCGCGTCTGTAATAAACGAACGCCCTGGCGTAACGAGGGACGGTGCGGGAGTTATGACCCTCCCCCTCGCGCACGTTCAAGATTGGACTCCCGCGGCGCGCACAAGATTTTATACACTTTTCTTCCTAGTGCTGCAGCGTGGCTCACAGCTCTTGTTTTATTCGAGGACAACAGCGACAACTACAAGTCCCGCGAGACTGTTCCTTCGTGTCTTGTGATGAAATGTTTTTTTTTTTTATTTACCAACGCTGCAAAGATGCTTGCTACTGCTGGTGGGTAAATTGGTCGATTGACCGAAACTTTCGGGAGCTATGAGGTTGAAAGATTCGCGGAAGCTTTCGTAGGGATGGAAGCTTGATTTATCGGTGACGGCCGAACGATTAGGGAGTTCAATTTTTGTATGGCTATTGAAAAAGCACGTTACACAATCATCTGACCAAAGAACTGACCAAGTTAAGAAAAGCACCAAAGTATGATCATGAGGTGGATTGAATGACATCGCGTTAATAAAGGACAATATTTTGGTGTAGGGGTAGTGCGCACGTGTGTCTTTATTCGTATACGTTCCAAAGTAATGGGTGACCCGAAAGTTACGGCAAACTTCACAATAGAGATGAGATCGGTAGTTTCCCAAGTTATTTACTCGGCGGGGCACGGGACCTTTTTTTTTTTGCTTTCTCATTGACGTTTATATGGAAAAACGAAGAAGATCCGTATTGATGAGGATCGAGAGTTGATAAAACATTGAATAATGGACGAGAGGTGGGAAAAAAAAGAGCAGGGATCGAATTAATTGATGATTCATGGTACGTCCTACGAAGGTCCATCAATGACCTTGTTTTCAAAAGTTCAAAGACGTTGAACAAAGCCTTAGTCTTTAAAGTGAAAAATTTACTGTCATAAAACTTCCATATACTTTGATATTCGGTAGCGTATGCATGAATTATTTACAACAAGAGTTTTCGTTTTGAAAAAAAAATAAAACGTACCAACCACTGAATTTTTCCACAACAGAGCAGACTCAACTATTCTTCGTGACGGCAAAAGTGCCGATATCGACACGACGCCCGTCGATATCGACAAAAACTCTTCTTTATGATCGTTTTTCCGCTGAAACTTTCTCGCGAAACGGATGCCATCCTGAGACGCAAAACACAAACTGAATGAAAACAAACGGCTGCAGAGATGAGAAAAAAAAAATTTCCAACTTACACTCATCTCCTTCGTTATCAAACTTTTTAAGTTTAAAAAAAGCGAGCGAACGACGAAGGCTCCCCGCTGAAATTCCAGCTTCTCGTCGACGTGTCCTCAGGATGCTCGTAATAAGAGGGAAACGGGCGATCTTGAGCCGAGATGAAGGTGGCTCTTTTTGCGCTCTACGTTTCGTTTAAAGAAGTCACGGATGCGAATTAATAGACCTGTAAAATCTCTCATAGGCTCTGCGCTTTTTATTGTCTTTAATTTTAAAAGGAGAATCACGTTGATGTCATTTTTGTTTTTACGACGAAATAAAAATAAGGAACTTTCAAGGGAAAGGGGTAGATATTGTTTTTGGCACAAAGTACCACTATGAAAACAAAAAAATTTAGTGTCATAATGGGATTAGAAAGTTCTTTTTGTCACGTCTCAAGTATATTATACAATGTTGAAAGAGAAGAATAGAAGGCAAGAGATTCTATCTCCTGGCAGTGGCTTTTATCGTACCTACGCCGCATTGCTGCTACTATTAGACGAGGCACAAGTTTTTTTTTCTTGGCACCGTAAAAAACACGCCAAGTACAAAATAAATATAGAAAGAAAAATTTTATCCTCCGTTTAATGGGTCACTGGATTTTTAATTCTTTTTATTTCTTTTTTGTTTTTTTTATCTTACTCATGAAATACATTAAAATTTTCGGGCAATGGTTCTTCAGTTTGAACTCTTCAAAAATTTAAATTCCGACAAACTACGCGCGCAGTGTTTTATAACTACACTCCTCATTTGCATGAATAATTTCAGATTTTACTATTGACTTTTCGTTCCCGTACGTATAATTTCATGGATATTTTATAAACTACGTCGTAATTTGATTCACCTTAATATACAGGTGTATTTAGTATTCCCTAACTCTTATCTGCATGCATAAATAAATCGTACGAATATCAGCTGTTTTTAATAAAAATCATACCCATGCTTACAAGGATGGTCTGTAGTCACGAGACAAAAGGATGAAGAGAAGGGCTTCCTCGACCTCCCCGCGTCCATTCTCGTATACCAAGAACACGATTTTCACATTATACATTCTTTAAGATGGGCCACAACATTTAGATCACGAACATATTTTTTTTTTTTTTTTTTCACATCTCTGAATTTATAATAATTATACAAATTTTACTAAAATCAATGTAACTTCCGCGAAGAAGCTCAGTTTTCTCATTTCTTCGATTAAAGCAAAAAAATATATATCCCATAGGAAGTAATTCAAAAATCTCAGTGAATTCTCTCTCTAAAGGTTAACAAACGATACTGCAATCACATCCAATTACAAAACTCTTCCTCGAGTATGAAACCGCTCCTCATCAAACTCGGGATAAAAGTTGTTTTTATCAAATAAAAAAAAAACTACTCACTGTAAATTCAATAATACGTGCATGAAACTTTCTACCTCAAATAAAAAAAAGGGCTTAGCACAACTTTTCTCTCATCGCAAAGCCGCAGTGGAGAAAAAAGGCTCCCCTCGGCAATCGAGTTAAAAATACCCCTCGACACGCGAGTTCGTAAATTGCAGACCACAGAGGCGTCGAGTGTCCCAGCACCTTTAACCCGAGCCTTCTAATTCCCGGCGCTCGATTTTCACATCTGATGCCCGAGATGTCCTCGCCCCCGGGCAACTGATGCGAGCGAACCAGAGAGATGAATGAAAAAAAAAAAAAAAATGAAAAAAAATGGTACAATCGACAGGCGCAGGTCGAAAATTACCCAGCGATGCATATGGAACGGTGGAGGGTCAATCGGAAACCGCATGCAGGAGAGCATCGATTCCCCGTTGGCTCCGATATCTCGGCCTTTTCGTCGCGCGTGCAGCTCGAGAGCGTGTGACTGCACTTGGCACCCGGGAAAAGTGACCCCCGGGGAGTACAACGAGAGGGGCCTAAATCGGCACCGGTTCTATCTCGAGCGTATAGACACGCCGTTTTAACTTTTCGATCGATCTAGTCTACGGACTTGCAGCACGTGTGGATAAGTGCTTCCGAACGAGCTGTGCCGATCGGAGTGTGGTTGGACCAGATTTTAGGAGTATTGTGTGACTTGTAAAAAAAGTAGTATTTAGGATTTTATTGTGTTAGACGTTTGGAAATTTACAATATTCACAATCTTCCAGTAGAAAAATTCTTGTGTAAGTAAACTTCACAAAATTAAAACCTTATCCGTTTTCTTTTGTTACATTTTATCATTGAAGATTACGTTTCAATCTAGTTGGGATATTAAAAGATTATCTTTCAATGAAGTTCAGTAATAATTGCAGATCGAGTATTGCGCCTCATTGAAAAAATCTACACGAGGAGAAAGGCGAGCATTTTTTCATAGCAACGATTTAGAAGAGATATTTTTTACTATCATTACTTTTTAGAAAAAAAAAAAACAAAAAAAAAACGGAAAAATAAGTTCGCCATAAAATAACTCACATAAATAGGATACAAAGATGCAGCATTACTCAGCACACTGTCCTCTTTCATGTTTCAGATCACAAGCCATGCCGCTGTCAGACTTCCAAAAGAAGAAACTCCTCTTCGTCTTCAACACGTTTTTCGGTAAGTATGCAACCTTTTCTACTTTCTCCGCACTCGCAAAATCGTGATCCGACGTGGCTCAGCTTTACGACTCTACTTTTTCCTTCAAAAAAATAAAAAATAGGTACAAGAACGATAAATATAAAATAAAAAATCACAACTCTTAAAGTTGGAAAAAAAAGAGCTAGCTTGGAATATATACGAGCAGGTGAGTGTTGTAGCAGGGTGTGGAATGGAAAGGGAAAGAAAGAAAGAGAGGACGGCTTTATCGCTTCTTTCGTTTTACCGCTGGATTTTAAGGAGCGATGACGGGAACGTGGGGGGAGCAAAAAAAATATACCTGAAGTTGAAGACGAACCGAAAGAACAAAAGAGTTGGAAGTAAAGGGGGTCCCTGTTGTGGTGTGCTTGAAAATTAATTTGCATAACCGGAAGAGTCCTGCTGCATCCGGTGGCGTGGGATTATGTAGCACTGCGCGATTCTAGTTTCGAGGGAAGAAAGGAGAAAATCGGAAGTTCACGGGGGTGGTAATGTAATCGTGGAGTCAGGAAGAGCCAGGGAAACAAGTAAAAGGCAGAAGTGGCTGGAAGGAATGTATAGGTTACTTTTTTTTATTTGAAATGGAACCTTGAAAGAGGAATAAATGGCAGATGGTTTTTCTTTTTTCTCGTGAATCGGTTTGACTACAGGAACGATTCTGGAAAAAAGGGAAAAATGGACTCTTTCAAGCCAAAGTGGATAACTCCACGTTTTTTAACAGAACAGGCCTCTTATTTGTTGTAGCGTATTTCAATTTCGGGTTATTTATAAATTAATTATTTAGAAATATTATGAGATAGTATTGATTAAAAATTTTTTTTCTTATTTGTATAACAATACAACAAATTTTTGGGGAAAGGTATTTTCTATTATCATATTATTTTTTTGAGAAAGCAATAAAGTTAACACACAACTGACCATTCCATCATAATGTTGAGATAAAAAGATAATGAAATTGGAAAAGCATCTTTCATGTAATTTCTTATCAACCTCCTTTCGAATTTAGTTGTCCCATTTTTTCGAATAAGGTGCCTTGTCACCTTTTTTACCCTAAACTTATTGTCCTAGAAATGTACATAAAAATCATTTCATTGATGAAATCTTTGGGCTTACTTTATTAAATATGTATTTTTGTTTTCGTTTTACGATATTACATCCTTTTTTTGTTTGTCAAGATAAAATCTCACAGCACAAAATTATTTCTGTTCATCGTACCAGTGAGTCGAAAGTGACCGTAGAAACATGTTGCTTTTTCACAAACTCTTTATTTTCGTTGTTGCATCTCTACAAACCGCAAAGTGTACAATCCAGCAAAATCAGCTGGAAGCACTAGCCCAATCCATAGCATCAAATTTAACATTCAATCGCGTAGTGGTTCTCACGGACAGTCGGAATGATTTTCAGCTGCAAACGGATATTCTTTATTTTCTGTACAACAAAAGAGTTTCCGTGGTCACATTTGATATTTCGGACTCGCAAAATCAGTCGCTATGTTTGTCGGAGTTTACACACCCCCGAAAAGTGCTGCTCTACCTCATATTATGCAAAGAGTCAAACGACAACAATGACAGTGACACACGACTGCAGCGTTTTGTCAATCATATTGTCGACATTGCACCTGTAACGCCGCGACCACAGTGTTTAGTGTTATACAAATCTGTAGAGAAATCCACCAGTGCTATGGAAAACATCTTGAGGTTCGCCTGGGAGCAAAATTTTCTTGATTTTTCTGTGATGGAAGTACTCCAGAACACAAACGTGAAACGTACATTTACTTCTCTGGCGAATCCATCGAGTGTATTTATTAATTCTTTTGATCCATTCCTAAATGCGTTTCGTAGGGATGAATTTAATTGCAAAACAGTTATTTTTCCTAGTAAGTGCCATAACGTTCAAAAATACCCACTCAAAATGGAAACGTATCACTACATTCTTGATAATAATTCACTCTACAATGAAGGTGAGCCCGGAAGTATTGATTTGGATGCCGAAAATAAAGTATCTATGGAGCGAGTACGATTCAAACATCCTATGATTTTCACAGCAACGGATAAAATGAATTTTTCCTATCAGTTTAAAATTTATAACATTACCAATGAGTCGATTGTTGATTTTTTTTATTATTCCGTGAAAAATTTGGAAAGCCAAGAAATACATGTAACACTAGCGTATTTTACCACGCAAGATTATCATGAATTATTCGATACCTCACCAGTGCACGTTATGTTTCCAAGTTTTGGGTTTACAGGTGTTGCTGCATTAGTACCAATTAAATATCAACGTGAATTAAATATTCCATATGAAATAGTAATGTATTTACTTATTATCCTCACTACTGTAGGTGTCTTTATAGTAGCTGTCAATTACTTTGACCACAGTGAGAAAAAATTTGAAATATATTATGCTATTACAATTTTATTTGGAAAATCTGTTAACACAAATCGTAAGAGAATTTTTGATAAAATCATGATTGTGACATTAACTTTAGCATCTTATTACTTTTCGTTGGGGTTTTATTCAATTTTTTTGAAAACAATACTCAACAGAGAAGAAATGAACTACGACACCATTGAGGAATTGCGCGAGTCTAAAATTAAATTTTTTTCCCCACATTCTAAGAAACAACTTTTTGATACCACAAACAAAAACGCATCCAACATTCAATTAGAAATAAATGATACTAATTCTTTCTCAGATTGTATTCAGAAAATCGTCGTAGATTTTTCTTCCGGTTGTTTATTGTTACGATCTGATGTTCAGTCAATCGCTAATACATATATTGATTATCAAGGAAAACGAGTCATGAAAGTAGCTAAGCCAACATTTAAAAACTTTCAATTAATGTTGGCCGTTGAAAAAGGATTTCCATTTTCTGAACAGATGGAGAAAAAATTTATCACTATCTTCGAGTCTGGTATTTTAAATTCATATTGGACGACCGGTTTTATAAAAAAAATTCAGGTTAAAGGAGATGAAGACAGAGCATATAAAGAGTTATTTAAATCACGACTATTCATAATATTGTCAGCTGGTACCTTAGTATCAGTTGTTGCTTTTATTGTGGAAGTATTTTTACTGTAATCTGTGGTGATTGTAAAGCCTTTTAAAAATTAAAAAAAAAATGTAACTCATGCCTTATTTTTTTTTCTAACAGATTTACACGAATTTTTTTTAAAAAAGTGTATTTTATTTGACTACAAGTGTCTTGTTTTAATAAAATATTAAGTGTGAAAGTAAAATAAATTTTCGTTGTTTAATCACATCAGAACCTATTTTACAACCTATTTTAATATTAAGAACCTACTCATTGAAACCAACACACTGCAAAGTAAAATGTTCGCATGGATATGATACCGGATGATGGAAGTCTGTTGAGCATGAAATAATACAATAACAAAAGTTTTAAAAAATTCTAAAAATCTGTTTCAAATTAAAATAAACTCTTCACCTTCGTTCAAAAGATTTTTCTTGAGTTAATTCCATAATAAGGTAAGTGTCTCATGTTTGAGATCAATTAGAGAGTCGAATGTGTAATAATTGTGTGGTTTATATTTTACATAATTTTTATACTTAAACAAACTATGTCACGAGCTTTAAGCACAAAAAAGACAAAAAATACTCTTAATGTTTTTTATATCCTTGCGAGACAATAAATAAACTATGTTAAAAAAAACTCTCGATTATGGCAGAATATTTTGTGTGGATTAAATTGGAGCCCATTATCAGAAGAAGTTGATCAACTTTACTTTTGTATCACCAATTTTTTGAAGTGTTAAATGGATAATATATTTCTTGGGAAAGTAAAATATATTTATATTGTTTTTTGTTCACTCTACGAGGTGTTAATTTATATTAATGCCTATTCTTACATTTCGTACTTTGGAAATCTTGTCAATAACAAATCAATATGCTTGCAACTTAAGACTCATAAATTTGTCAGTGGATTAAAATTTTTTTTACTCAGGTCGTGGAGGAAATTTACACAGCTCTGATGATTTTTTATTAATAGTAAGGTAAAAAAATTCCTTACGCAGTTTTTTAGTGACTCTCATTGAACCAAGTAACACCCATAAACCTTCAAAAAGACGACTTGAGACTTTATTTACCTAAAAATAGAATGTTCCTGTTTTTACATCAAGTCATCACGGTTTAGAATTTCGTGTAAAAAGGTGCTACTACGGTCTCTGGCCAACAATGTGATTACTTGAATACTATTTTTTTGTTTCTAAAGTATCGTAGTGTCGACACAGTATCGCACAAACAGCAATAAGCAATCACTCTGTGAAAAGTGGGTGAAAAAAAAAAACACTAAAAATGCAGCATCTTTCTACCCATATTGACTGAACAAGCAACCTTTTTTTAAACCAAAATTTAATTTTTTTATCAATTACATACCTATCAGCCGACTAAAGAGCGTAAAACACGATACACCCACGCATTAGCTCTACACATTGTTACCTCGACCCGGGGAAGGCTACCATACCGTAGACCTTACAACATCCCGAGATGCAAGATCAAAAGCTTCCACACACCCCCACCCCCCTGCTCTAAACGCACAAGCGGACAAAACCAACAGCTCATCGGTTGCTCGCGGTTACGTAAAACCAAGCCTCCTCATTAGCCCTACCACTGTAGGTACGTGTGTACATACATACCATACTCCCCTTGGCCCCCGCCTAGTCGTCATTATCATGCAGGAGTAGGCGGCTTTCTTCAGCCCCGTACCCCTTTGACGAGCACTATTCCAGGGAGCCCTAGTCGGATGACAACCACATAGGTATACGCGTATACGTTGCGTGTGGAAGAGCGCCAAAGGCCCCGCGGCCTTAGCAGCAGAGGCGTCGCTTCCCGGTGGCTTGTAATTTTAAATATATTCCTCCCACCTCGGCTGCCGATTGATTTTTCCATCCGCCTCCTTTTGTGCGCACGATGCTCTTTTTTTTCGCTTTCGAGGAACACACAGAGAGAGAGAGAGGGGGGGA